CTTTGAGGTTGCGAACGCGAGTGGAGTAAACTTTCCTATAAGATGATCATTTACCAGAGATGTTAAGGGAGGATGGCGAGAAGGTATTTATACCTGTAAGATGCTGGCTTGTCAGGCCAGAGATCTTGCATCTCGGCCAGTGGGAGGCAGCTATGGCGGAGGTAATCTCTCCAGCTAAAGACCTTGTCTTGTGTAACATTGAAGGTGGTTTCATACCTCATTGGGGACTCGGTGTCTGTGGAGAAGTAGCGCATTTTCTCCTCGTTTGGGAGAGCGTGGAATTCGCGAGCCACCGATTGCATTTCATCCACCAAAAAATGGGGAACACCGTGATTGATCACCTGTATGGAGAAGATCACAAAATTCTCGATCAATTCATAGACCCAGTGATGGATCAAAGAGATTTTGGGACACCCAACAGCCAGCAAGAACAATAGCACACCTGGAAGAAGCCCCATTTCACGCAAGCTTCACGGATTTACGGGACAAGCGCTGAATTCGAGCCTCGCTCGAATTCAAGGCGGCGCCAAGATCCAAGACTGGGAAGCTTTCCTCGCGATGAACGGCATTTGGGTGCTCCTCTATGGATCAGATGTAAATGCCGGGCAGCTTGTCCACGCCCGATTCTTCCCACCCAAGTGGAGTGGAAGAACTTCGGCGGCCATTGTTGAGCACTTCACAAAGATAAACTCCGGTTTTATACTCTTGGAGGATACTAAAAATTTCTTAGATTTTCTAGATTCTAAAAGAGGTTTGGTCACAAAGGAAAGTTGGCATAGCAAAATGAACCGCGCCAAAATTTCAGCGGTCCAGATGGCATCACGAATGGACGGAAGTGATTGCTCTGTTGGCCACGCCACGGGCAAAGGCAATGTCGTCTTCCAGGGCGGAGGCGCCACCGTCGGCGCTCCTCTACGCAGCGTGACGAACGGAGCATCGTCGGCTGGAAGAGGATTGGTTGTTCTCCGGTATGGCGAGAACCACTTCGCGGTGAGGTAGTCGGGTCTCCGCCGGGGAGGGAGCCTGAGACTTTGCGCCTTGAGCGAGCGTTTCACCGCGAGGGAGATGAGGTGGAGGAATTTGTGGAGCTCGTCCTCGGTGCCCACGAACACTGGCGGGATCTCGGCGAGGATCGCTTGGTATTCGTCGCTGGGGCGCGCGATCACGAACTGGGAGCTAAAATCTGTGTCGATGATCGCTCGCTTGGAGCCGGTGTCGAGGAGGACGTCAATGTAGGCGTACTCTCCTGGAAGAGAGGAGAAAATCACGCTGTGAGAAGGATAGAAATAGTTTGTAACAGACCGTTGGAGATTCCTTAAACCGGGCGTCACGATCTTCCCGGCACGATCTTTGTATCGCTCGACGTCGGCGGCGAGTTTCCACTGCAAGAAAATCTCTGGAAATTTCCGATCGATCGATCTGTGCTTGCTTACCCGATGCAGAAGGAAATCTCGCAGCTCGTCGGCGAGATCTTGCGATTTGGTACTGGCATTAACTGGAGAGGGAATCGCCGTTACAGCAACCGCTCAAGCGGCACTCCTCTATGAAATCGTTCACCATCTCCGCCAAGAAGAGGGAGCTGGCCATCGCTTCGTGCTCGCTGCCGCTGCATGCTGGCCGCGGCGCACAGCGACCGATCGATTTCTTGTCCTCTTGCGTGGCGATGCGTTGTCTACATACGATCGATGGGATCGTTTCTCTACACCGCTTATATAATCTCTCCTTAGTTTCTCTCCATCTGGTCTAGATTTCTAGATCGCTCGATCTTCTTCGCGTTCCTCTTCTTCTCGATCCTCTTCTTTCCATTCTTGGCGTTTTCGTTTCTAGATCGGGGCCATGCCAGGGATTCTTTGGCATTCCGATCGGAATGAGCGAAATTTCGAATGACTTACCCGTCTAAAAAGCCCTAGAAAATTATTTCCTTGTCGAATGACTCTTGCCACTTGTATGACACTTGGCGTCTGCCACGCGTCGCACAATGGCAAGAGCCCTAAAATTTGAAGACCAAATTTTTAGACCCAGATATCGGAGGTGCAAGCGCATCTCGTGCGCCACGGTTTGGCTCCTCGCCGAAATCGACGAAGAAATCGTGATTGAGAGCTACGCCTCCTTTCTCGGTGTTGCATTCCACCTGGAGAATGTGAGAGCCTTCGCTCGCGAGGCTCGGATAGAACTGATTGTCCCAGGAGCTAAACAGCGAGTTTGTCACGTAGAGATGCTTGCCATCGAGGCTGAGCTGCAGCATTTGGGCCTCCTCTCAGTTTCTTCCCCTGGAAACACCAAAGTTTTCTCGTTCGAACTCGATCGGATAGAGAGAACTTCACTTACCTGGACTGGAGGAACGCTGGATTGCCAGTCTTCTCCGGTAGAGCTCTCGACCGCCACAACTTTGCTGCCTTTGGAAACCAAGCCTCCCAGCCAGAGCTGCCCGGTTAGCAACACGCAACCAAATCAATACTTCCGACCTGGATGGATCATCGATGTTGTACTGCCTCAAATCGCCGTGAAGTCAATTCACAAAGTAGAGGAAGCGATCATCCAGGGAGATGAGAAGGTCCATGATCAAGCCAGGCATCTCGGGTAAGATCCAGTTCTTCACCTTGAGTGAGCGGCAAAACAGTCTGCCACCACCTTAAGATCAAAAAACGAGAGAGAGAGTTAGAACTCCACGATCTATTCAAGCTTACTTCGTGATCCCAAGTGCTATCATCTTTCTTGAAGAACCGGACCAAAGTACTGCTTAGAGCACAGGTTACATAGCCAGTATCCTTTTCTGGATTGTGTAGAAATTGAATCTACACCAACAAAACTCCAGGGAAAAAGAGAGAAAATGAAAAAGGCGCTACCTCAAGTGGGATCAATCCAGTGTCGCCGAGATCGATGGTTTGCTTCAAAGTTCCGCCCGGCCAGTCGTACACAAAGAGTTCTCTCCCGTACAGGCCTTGGAAAGATCTCCCAAATCAAAACCTTTGGTAAACGCAGAGGGCGCCCACTGATCATCATTTTGTGACGAGGTTGATACCAAAAGTCGTAGCCAAAAGAGGGACTGTGTCCTTGTTTTTCCCATCTAAGTCGTAAGATCCAAAGCTCAACAGTGACCAAAAAAAAAAAGGGATCTACGTGAACGACAAGAACTCACAAGGACTTACCTTCCTTTGATGTTGAATTCTCCATTCAAGAGCAAAAATCCAGCTCCTTCTGCTCGTCCTTCTTTGTCTCCAAGGCACGAGATCATAATCTCGTCAGAAGCAAGGCAGGCACGGTGTGAGGAAACGCGAGCCCAGTTTTTTCGTACATATCCTCCGCCTCGATCACTTTGTGAAGCACTGGAGCTTTCGGATCTTTCAGAGTGTTCACAATGTAAATTCGAGAAGAACTGAAAGACCAAAGAACTTAGCTCACGAACAAAACTTAGAAGCTGTGATATACTCACACTACCGATGGAAGAACAAGGTAGCAACGCTCAGCATCCTTCTCTCCATGGCAGGAGCTACAAGAATTCCATCCAGAGTGATTGACATCAGGAACTGCAATAATGATTCACGAAGATAAGCCTAATAATTTATGCTAGAATATACATACATTGGATATGACATATTACATATTGGGTTTGCTCAAAAGTAAATTGTCACTATATTTAATTACATTTTTGGTTTGCTGAAGTAAACCTGTATAGTAGTAATGGTTGTTATTCATTTAGATTAATTTTATATTTATAATTTATAAAAAAATTTAAACACTTTCTAGTATATTCTTTTTATTTTACCATATTAATCTTGTGTTTATAAATTATAAATATTTTTTATTTTGAATTAATTAGTAAGAATAATACTACTATTAAGCAAACCAAGCATTGCTAATTTGTTCTATGTTGCATGCAACAATGTTTGGTTTGCTAGAATCAAACCTAATACCATATATAACATACTTTATCTCTTTCAATTGGAATAGAGGTATAATTGTTTTATTCTCATTTATCCTCTAAAGTTTTAAAAATTCATAGTAACAATATATCCATATCCCATCCCATAACAAATGTTACAACACTCAACCTTTAGGACCATTAGATTTAGCCAATGGCAGCCATCCTATAGGGAGGTAATTGTCAAAGGGTTATTTTTTTAACCACATCTTACTTAATAATCATATAAAAGATTCTCTCTTGTGCATATCCTTTACCCTTTGCAAATTATACTCATTTTTATATCAAATCCAATGCATAGCAAGCAAGTTTGAATGCCAATTGTCCCACCTTTTCTTTTTTATGTAGTCAAAACATGGAATAGAACTTATAGTAAGCATTCATAAGTGGGATCCAGCTCTCTCAGTGACATTGAAGTGCTAAGACAAACACTCAAAACCAAATGGCAGATAGAAAATGGTTCTAGAACAAGAGAACTATTCATTGCAAGAACATAAAATTCACTTAGAGAGAGAGACAATCCTAAAGAAGACCTAAACTAATTTAACTAACTCAACTTTTTTCTCCAGAATAAAAGAATCTAAATTGAAATGCTCTTCAAATGACATTGTTAGGGTACATTCCGCCCCACTGCCCAGCAAAAGCCACAAGAAGAATTGTCAAAATCTTTGTTTTGCAGGTTAGCCTTAAAATAAAATTTACCAGGCAATTTGTTTTTATTCTTTCAATTGAAGGTGCATTTCAAATTTATGCCCTGCTGGTAAAGTAATAGACGCTGTGTACTGATGCTATGTGGCAAAATTTCTCTGTCCAGCCAGCTATCCTGCGCAGCAAATAAAACGTGTAACTTGTGTCACCTGTGCTCTGCAAAAGGATAAGATGTGATGTCCTCCCATGTTGTTTTTTGCTGTTGAAAACTAGATGACCAAAAGAGTGACAAGGTTTTAATTTACATTCATTTGGTCTAATGCTAGATTAGATGCCATGTTTGTTGATCACTTAGGTATGTGTATTGACAGATCCTCATGCTTTAAAAGCCAATCCGCTGAGCTCCACAAATATAACAGAGTGTTCCACCTTGCTTTCAGTTCATCCAGCTTCTCTTGCCTTCATCTTGCTCCAGAGCTTCGAGTCCTTTCATTCTTTCAAGGAAAGATGGATGTTGAGCAGGCACTCCTGGATGGGTTCGAGAAGGGCATTTCGCTGGGCCTGAAGATGATCCCAGTTGTGGGCTCCTTCGCGCAGGCCATATTCGGGCAGTTGTGGAGCATAGCGCTTGCACCCCGCACCGCGCAGCAGAAACAAGCCGCCATGGATTCGCTGTTCGAGGCGGTGGAGAAGATGATCGAGCAAGCTCTGGCTAAAAACATTGCGGATCAAGCAAGAGCTGCGAATGCCACCATCTCCCAGCTGGGCCAGGACTACTACGTCTCCGTCGCGGCCTTCCAGGCCAATAACTCGGTCGGCACGCGCAACATCGTGGTGCGATTCGAGCAGTGCAAGGCCCAACTCCTCCAAATGCTCAATCTCTTCTCGCAGCCCAGCTACATGAAGCATACACTCCTCTCTTACGGATCCGCGCTCACATTGTACACAACGCTGCTCCGCGAGATGATCCTAAGCGCCAAGGTTTGCGGCTTCACCGCCTCGGAAGTGGCCGCTTTCCAGAGAGACATCAATGATTGGATCAGATTCTCGCTCAACCAAGTCATGTTCGATGCTCTCTCCAAGCTGGTAAGGGAAGGGGGCGAATTTAAGTACCCCGGTATGGCCAACGTCGCCAAGAGCCTCTTCGAGATCTCTGCAGGCTTGATGAACTTCCACACTGAATGGCACAACGGTGCAGCTTGCCTGATCGCGAACAACCACCAGGTGTATTCGGATTGCGACTTTGTGGATACCAAGGCGCACTACCAGCTGAACTTCCGGCGCAGGCCCGGTGACGGGTGGAACTATCACGAGATGCCGCAGGTGTTCGTCAGTGGTCGTCCGGCACTCCATATCTACACCAAGCTTGAGCAGGAGATTCATGTAGCGCGCTTCGCGTTCGAGGAGGACAACGTGGAAATGAAATTCCGGGCGTACTACATGGTTGATCATGACGACTTCGACTCTTGGCAAGTGTTGGTGACCGTGGGCAGCGGTTTCAAACCTGTGGTACGTAAACTTTGATTCATCAACTTGCTCAATGTTTCAAGATTCTGGACACAGATGGTAAAACTGAAGTTGGTTTCTTGCTTGCAGGAGCTTCAGTTCAACCTCAATAAGCGTCAATCCTCCATTGTATCCTTCCCATGGGTGAAGATGTACTACCCCGGAAATCCTCTGGCCACCCAGTTTGACAAGTTTAGGACCAACATGAGCGTCTATTATGACGAGTACAGTTCGTTTAAGCCATTAAAAAGCAGGTCTTACCACATCACCACTAAGGCTGCTGGGCCTGCAACCAAGAATTACTACTTGATCGCATTTGAAGTTGTGCCCGCGAAGGCTCCAAAGCTGCCATGGCTGTGATATGAAGATTAAGAATCTACTAAAATAAAATTGCCTTAAGAACATTCTCAGACTTACGAAGGGCTTGAACGACAGGGCTCTCGTGTCCTACTCCAAAGCGCAGCCAGTGCTGGCCAAGGAGCGGGGGAATGAGGATGGCAGCTGTGCATTGGACAGTGCCGCCGCGATTGGCTGCGCAGCACCAGCCCGGCAAGCCCTCTTGATCTCCTGGTAGTCTGGGATGGCGCCACCGGCTGTGGAGTCGCATTGGACGCCGCTGCTCGTAGCCTCCGTGTTACAGGGACGATTTCGCGTGTCGACCAAGCTCATCCATGGAGGTGAGTTCTAGTTTCTCTCTCTTTCTTTAAAGTAGTAAGTGGTCAAGATCTTTGTTTGGGTATCTCGGGCTTTCCTGGATCGATCAAACATTTTTTTTTTTGGATTGTTTGTCTCTGGGATGTCTGGATGATGGGCTTTCTTTCGATGGATCGACCAGTCAAAAGTTCTTACATTTCTCTCGTTGTTCCAACTTGCTCCAGGTGTGAGATATCTCGAGAAGTACGCACTGGACGAGCGAGCGCAGCTCATCCAGAATGCTCCACACCTCCGTCGAGTCCTTCGAGTTCTTCCCGACGGTTGCAAAGACAGCGGGCGATGGAAAGATGCTCAAAGGCACGGTGGTCTACTACGATGGCCAAATGGACGATGCTCGCGTCAACGTTTCTCTGGCTTGCACGACGGCGCTGGCGGGAGCAGCGGTGCTCAACCACGCCGAGGCAACCGCGATCATCAAGGATGAATCCACTGGCCAAGTTGTGGGTGCTCGAGTCCGGGATAAACTTAGTGGCACGGAATTTGACGTCCATGCAAAGGTCGTGGTGAATGCCGGGGGACCTTTTGTGGACGAGCTGAGAAGATTTGCGGACAAGGAGTCCAAGCCGATGATCGCTCCCAGCAGTGGCGTTCACGTCGTTCTTCCCGACTACTACTCGCCCGAGTCTATGGGGCTCATTGTTCCCAAGACGAAAGATGGCCGGGTGGTGTTTATGCTGCCATGGCTGGGAAGAACGGTGGCTGGCACCACTGATTCTATTTCCCCTATCACCATGCTTCCGGAGCTGAAGGAAGAGGAGATCCAGTTCATCTTGGACGCCATCAGTGACTACGTTTGTGTCAAGGTAAAGGAACAACAAGTTGATCTTTCTTTCTTTTGGTCTGTTCTAACTTTTTCTTTCCTCTCAGGTCCGCCGCTCTGATATTATGTCCGCGTGGGGCGGCATTAGGCCGATCCGTCCGCGAATGGAGACACGTCAAGCATCTCCAGAGATCACGTAAGCTGCGTGGAGCCTCACGGCATGGTGACAATCACCGGTGACAAGCGGACGACCTACAGAAGGTAAGTTTTACTTTTGGGTCATAGAAAAGACTATTAAAGCCTGTTGGGGGCACAGATTTCGTCAACTTAAGAGAGAGATGGTGCTGGAACCTGATCCAAGGGGTTACACAGTTGTTCCAACAACGTTCGCTCCACACCAGGAAGCACCGTTCGTGCTGTCCGTCTTTACAAAAGCGTCTATCACATTTGATCCACTCACTGCGTGAATCCGTGCTCCTTGGAGCCAGACAGCTCGGTGCTGCTGCTTTGCTCGAGACACCATCGAATGCGGATAAAGAAGGTATGTTGCAGGATTTTAGCGTTTCTCGTTTCTTAAGTATATGTTCTTGCAGATACTGGGAGATGGTTGTATGCTTTTCTTTTTCTTTTTCTTCTTGTTTTCAGAGTGGAATCTTGTCTGGTTTTGCTCCAGTTTTTGGCCTCCATGCAAGTGGAGAGGCTGAGTCTGTACATAGATTCGGTTTTGTATAATCTGAGACATTACCATGATTCTTCAAAGGAAAAAACGTACTTGGGAGTTTACTTTGAGAGATCTGATTTACTGACTGCTGCTCTCTGCATCCACATTGAAGAAGCCTCTAGCTGTTGTTTGATCTTGTTCTTGCTTAGAAGAGCAAGAACTTGTGGTGTAGTTGCTTCTGCTGTCCTTTCCATATCCTCGTTGCACAGCTCGATTTCGCCGCCGCCACTGCCAGTTCCACGCTTACCACCTTGTACTGGGACTGGTCAAGGACGTAGACGCAAATGAAGCTGTGTGCAGGATAGCTGATCTTAAAAATTCCGAATCAGATCCATACCGAGAAATCAGTGACACAGTGAAACGTGCATATGTGCAAACACAACTTGTAACTTGTGTCAGCCGTGCCTCTCAACTGGATGTGATGTCCTCCCAAGTTGTGTTATTGTTCGCAAACTTGTTTTGGTCGCTGTGGACCACGTAAGTATCTGATAAAACATCGATCAACAAAGTTGTGGAAAGCATATCCTCCTTGTATGCTTTAAAAGCCAAGCCGCGGAGCTGCACAAATATAAGGGAGTGCTCCACCTTTTTTTCAGTTCATCCAGCTTCTCTTGCCTTCATCTTGCTCCAGAGCTTCGAATCCTTTCATTCTTTCAAGGAAAGATGGCAGGTTCTATTGTTGAGCAGGCACTCCTGGATGGGTTCGAGAAGGGCATTTCGCTAGGCCCGAAGATGGTCCCAGTTGTGGGCTCCTTCGCGCAGGCCATGTTCGGGCAGTTGTGGAGCATAGCGCTTGCACCCCGCACCGCGCAGCAGAAACAAGCCGCCATGGATTCGCTGTTCGAGGCGGTGGGTAAGAAGATCGAGCAAGCTCTGGCTGAAAACATTGCGGATCAAGCAAGAGCTGCGAATGCCACCATCTCCCAGCTGGGCCAGGACTACTACGTCTCCGTCGCGGCCTTCCAGGCCAATAACTCGGTCGGCACGCACAATATCGTGGTGCGATTCGAGCAGTGCAAGGCCCAACTCCTCCAAATGCTCAATCTCTTCTCGCATCCCAGCAACATGAAGCACACACTCCTCTCTTACGGATCCACACTAGCATTGTACACAACGCTGCTCCGCGAGATGATCCAAAGCGCCAAGGATTGCGGCTACACCACCCTGGAAGTGGCCGATTTCCAGAGAGACATCAATGATTGGATCAGATCCTCGCTCAACCAAGTCATGTTCGACGCTCTCTCCAAGCTGGTGAGGGAAGGGGGCGAATGGAAGTACCCCAGGATGGCCAACGTCGCCAAGAGCCTCTTCAAGATCTCTGCAGGCGTGATGAACTTCCACACGGAATGGCACAACGGTGCAGCTTGCCTGATCGCGACCACCCACAAGGAGTATCCGAATTGCGATTTTGTGGATACCAAGGCGCACTATCAGCTGAACTTCCGGCGCAGGGTCGGTGACGGGAGGAACTACTATGCGATGCCGCAGGTGTTCGTCAGTGGTCGTCCGGCACTCCACATCTACACCAAGCCTGAGCATGAGATTCGTGTAGCGCGCTTTGCGTTCGAGGAGGACAACGTGGAGATGAAATTCCGGGCGTACTACATGGTTGATCACGACGACCTCGACTCTTGGCAGGTGTTGGTGACCCTAAGCAGCCTTTCCAATCCTCGGGTACGTAAACTTTGATTCATCAACTAAAAGTTGGTAACCTGGAGGTTTGCAGGAGCTTCAGTTCAACCTCAGCAGGCGGGAATCCCCCATTGTGTCTTTCCCGTGGGTGAAGATGTACTATTCCAACACAGAGGGAAGTGCCTGGAGCACCAATTTTGACAAGTTCAGCACCAACATGAGGGTTTATTATGATGAGTATAGTTCGTTCAAGCCAGTCAAAGGCACGGCTTACAACATCACCACTAAGGCTACTGGGCCTGCAATCAAGAATTACTATCTGATCGCATTTGAAGTTGTTCCAGCCAAGGCTCCAAAGCTGCCATGGCTGTGATCATAATTTGAGGGAAGTTAGGTAACCTATAGTAACAAAGTTTTATGCTTTTCAGTTAAGTACCACAGACCAGGAAAAAAAGAATTTACTAGTATTGACTATTAAAATTTAAAATAAAATGCTTTAAGAATATTCTTAGTTTTGTGTAAGCCTTAAAACTTTACTCTACCTTTTTGCATCCCAAAATTTCACTATGTTTAGCTAAGGCGGTGTTGCTCTTGGGCAGTGACAGTGCCACCGAGATCAGATCAATCGATCCATCCATCGCCAGCAGTGATGGGGTGGCTAAGCAGATGCTGAGGCACAGTGCGGCGTGGGGAGCTTTGATCGAGGGCATTGCAATTGTGTCCTATGCCAAATCACAGCCAGTGCTGGCCAAGGAGTGGCACAATGGATTTGCTTAGGGACCGGATGACAATATTTAAACTTAATATTTTTAATTTTATATTTATAGTTATTAAATAAGTATGTTACTTCTAAATATTTATTAACTTAACTACAATATCATATATTAATATTAGTACAGTGGGATTTTGATAGCTGTTGAATTGATTTCAATCCGGACCACTCACTTTTATATATAAGTTAAAGGTGTTTGAGCTAATTAATAAAGGGCAACAAGAAAAAAGTGGTGGACATATATATATATATATATTCCAATTCTATATTCCATGAATTCACATTGATGAAGGTGAGGGGCAAGTTTTAATTATCCTTGAAAAGTGTTTGAATTTAAGATTTTGATTTAAATCTAACTTTTGCATTGTTTAGATCTCATTTGTAACTTTTTTAATTTCTTCCCTTATATTTTTTACTTTTCATTTATCTTCATGGCAAAGCAACAACCTCCTCTTTCTTTGAATTTAGAACAATAGTTGGTGCAATTGCTAAATGCTATGCAATTGCAATTAAATAACTAAACTCAGTTGATAGTAACATTCATTATGCATGGTACAACTCTTGCTCTTATTACCAATCCTTGCGTTCACTTGGAGTTCTTCTATTAGAATCTTAAGGATGATGTGTATTATTAATTTGATCACTTTATGGTGATTGTTATTTATTATTTTTGGGATAATGTTTGGTATTCTTATGTGTCTCCAAAGGATGACATTATAGTAGTTGCAACCACTCGTGTGAATTAGAGCATTCTCTCAAATATCTCCAAATGTGCATTTGGATATGGTGACAATTGTGATGATGCATTCTAACAATTGTGTCATCTTTGTCAAAGGCTATCTAAGTTAGTGATGCAATTTAGCATTTACTTTTGGAGCTTCTTACTTCATGTAAAGCTAAATATATTATATAAGAGTGAATATTATAAATGTTATGGCTAGTATTTCGTCAAGATCTTGTGTGAGTTGTGCATTCACTTACTCTAGTCACCTTTTATAATGCTCTTCAATTGACTTAATGCTAGAAAATATCACCTCTTCCACTTTTTGCTACATATCATTCAACTCCACTTCATGTAGGAGGTGGTTCTATTGCAATGGAAGTACTGTTACTGCTTGTGTTCAGAGACAAAAAGTGAGGATATAGTCATAGCCATGATATCTATTATTAGGCATATGATAAAGTTAGCTATATATATCAGTATTGTTGTGTAAGGGATTAATTTTTCCATTTTACTTTAGTCACTTAACCACAAATCCGACCACTTGGAGTAATTTCACTCACAACCTTCGTAAGTTTTATTCTGGCCTTAAGGACTTGCTAGCCCCAAGAATAACATCTATGCCGCTCAACCATTACATTTGGTTCAAATGCTCCACGTGTCTGATCCCATGACCGACACCCCAAGGTACCATTGATATATCAGCCCGTTACGCTAAGGCCATGCCTATTCACCTTGGTCATACCGGTGGTTTAACACCACTTGCATCACAGTCCCATTTCTCAAAGACTAAACCATTCATCCATAAGTGATCATCTCAGTTCCACTCCTTACTATCCTTAGGATGCCTGTAGAGAGGGGAATAGCCTTCCCCAATATCTATTTTCCGGTCCCCACCAAGTCCCTTTCTGTTCATACCTGTGTTTGCCAATATTGCCACTAAATCAAGGCTTGCAGGCTTAACCACCAAATCCCACTATCCACTGGGACTTCCTCATTATGTGTCTGTATCTTTGGTCACCACTTTAGAAGACTACTCCTCTTCCTTTCCACAATCTAAGACTTTGGGATAACATTTTGGAACACTATGGCCATATGCAAGTTTCCTAGGTACTCTTCCTGCCTTCTACTTTTGGATGCTCTAGCCATAGGCTTAGAGCGAAGTTCCATTGAGCCATGGCAGATATCCAAGTAGGTAGTGCCACCCACACTTGGACTAGGAGCATTGACCATTCGATCTCCCAGGGGAATTAAAGCTGGCTTCACTAAACTACCCCATTTGTCAGTCTATATTCACTTTAATCTTGGACTTCCTAGTGGTTAGTTCATCACCCAACAACTAGGTACAACCTTCCTAGGCCAATTTAGCCTTTCTTGGCCCAATTGGTTCCAC